GCTCGTCCCCGCCTGGGCCCCGGGGGCCGTAAACAGCGCGGGCGCCGCGCACCTGAACTGCCCTGCGCGTGCCTTTGTCTCTGGGTCAGGCCGCCCGCGGGACCGGTGCTGGGGGGCTGCAGGTCTCCTGGTTCAGGCCGGACCCCGGCCTCCGGTGGTGGCGGCAATGGCAGTGGCGGTGGCGGGCGCGGAGGGGGCAAAGCCTGTGTTTGTCCCTTTGGTGGTGGCTGGAAGTGCCTTGCCTGGGCTGACTCAGGGCCTTGTTACGTTTGCGTGTGCGTGTGCAGTGTGTGTGTGTGTGTAGGAGGCTGGCCCCTCTAGCTCAGAGCTTCCCCCACACCGGCAGCTTGGGGATGTGGGACCCACCAGGGCTGAGGAGCCAGGAATCCAGGGTGGCTTGAGGAGGCCGATCCCAACATGGTGACCACCAGCGGTTCCCAGCACTGACTCGCCTCTAGGCCCTCCTGTGTCCAGCTCTGCACTGCCTCTGCTCTAATCCACCTACTGCACAGATGAGGGCCCGGGGCCCAGAGCTGTGGCCTGTGTGTGCAGCAGTGGACATTCCCCTGGCCTCACTGTGAGGCCACTCTGCAGTCCCCACTCCTTCCCGGGCACAGCACCCAGGGACCGGAAGTTGGCCCGCCCGCCTGGAGAGACCCCAGGAGGTCCAAGAGCCAAAGCGGTGGCTGGCCAGTGATAGTGGAGGCTCAGCAGAGGCGTCCTCCAGTGGAGACAGTCTGGGCGTTGCTGTGCTCCACCCCAGGGGCAATGGTTCCCCAGGGCCCCAGGCCATTTCCCGTCTGTTATACCTGTCTCTGGGCGCTCCTGGCCCCTGGCCCCTGGCCTGTGCTCAGTATTCCAGCAGGCAAGCTGGGGTATCAGGCTTCCAGCTGTTCTCCAGTTGTTTGGCTGCCAGCTGTTGTGCCTGGAACCCCGCCCTGAGGCTCAGGATGCTGCCTCCTGGAGTAAACAGGGGAGTCCTCTCTGGCGTGAGAGGGCCACCAGGGGACTGGAGTCTCAGAACAGAACCCAGGCTCAGCCTTGTACCTCAGGCTCCTGCCATCCCCTAGCTGGGGACTCTGGGCTATAAGGGACAGGGACTGCCCCGCTCCCTGTGTGCCTAGGCAGTGGCTGGGGTCAGGCAGACCGCTGACACAGGGTTAATGTTCAACCAGCCCAGCCCTGAGCTCCAGCCTGACTCAGGCGCTTGCTGACCCCATGGTGGAGAGTGAGGAGCCTGGGTCCGCCTCTGCCCACCTGCCGAAGGGGCTGCTGGAACTTTTTCTGGAGGGATGTCTACAGCCTGGGGCTGAGTGTCAGGTTACCAAGGAAACCAGCCAGGGCCGCCAAGGTCTGAAGAAGGACAGAGTGGGCATTTGCTCATCGCCCACGTCACCGGGCCCTGATGCCCAACCTGTGGGGAGGACGTGGGCAGCTTCTCAGCAGGGCTGTCAGTCCTGCTTGCCTCCCTAACCCCCTCTTGCTGGGTCTCTTGGGGCCCCAGACCTGGGGACACTTGCCTTTTCTGTCCTAGGGGAAACTGAGGCAGAGCCCCTGCGTGTCCCCACCCTCAGCATCAGGATGGACTCCTATCTTGTCTGGAAGCCTGAATTTCCAACCTTCCCCCCACCCCCTCCCGCAGCATGGCTGAGAGAGAAGGACATAGCAGCTGCCCTGGGCCCAGACCCGGGAGGCTCCAGAGTGCCCAAGAGAGGACTGAGGCCAAGCAGGGAGCCTGAGCTCTGCTCTCACCCCATGGCAGAGGGTCTGGCCAGCTCCACCAGTGTCCCATTCCCCACGCGCTCTGAGCCCTGGGCATCGACCAGAGGTTGGATGAGGCAGTGGGTGGCTCTGCCCTGCCTGGCTCCCTAGAGCTTCGGGATGGGCCGGTTGGTGGGGATTGGGCAGCCCTAGGCCTTGGGAGAGGGGGTGGTGGCGGCTAGCACATGTTGCTGCCAGTTGAGCCAAAGAAACTGACCTAGCCACACTCTCTTGCTCCAGGCCTGGGGCGCCTGGCACATGGAGACTGCACTGGGGCCTTGGAGGTGCAAAGCCCAGAACGGTGCAGGGACAGGCTCCTTCCCGGATCCCTTGGCCCAGGCGGTGGGCTGGGCTCTGGGGAAAGGGTGGAGCAAGGCAGTTCCCAGTTCCCATAAGTCAGTATTGTTTGCTTTCCTG